CGGAAGCCATGGAGGAAGGGAGGAGAGCATGAAAATTTACCAGAGGACCAAACCAAAACTCACAGATCTCATCGACCCGGGTAGTGAAAAGGAGGGAAGGAACTCTGACCAGATAATGCTGTTCCTCAAGACCCCAGGAGAAGCTGAGGGGACATCAATCCAAGCAAAGGGAACATGGAGGCAGAGGCAAAGATAGAAAACTAGAAAAGTAACATGTGTAATGCCAATTACAAAAGAGAAAAAACTATAAACATAAGACTGACAATTCCAGGTTTGACAGTGCCCTAAAGGAATCAAAGGACATGGTCCATAAACAACAAGGCAATAAGGCCACGAACATGACTGGGGGGACCTTCCAGGAATGGTTAAGTGGGGGGTGGTTGGATATCAATACCACAGTGTAGCTCTCCCTGGACCGACTGCCTAAACTACTGGTGGTCAAACTATTCAGACAGGAGCAGGACCTCAGGGACAACTAAGGAGGGTAAGTACAATTTGGAGCTCAAAAACCACAGCCCATAAGGGGACCTCATAATGGGGTGTGTAAGTGAATACAGCTCTCGCCAGAGAGGTAGTTCTAGATAGGTGAAAGTGGATAAATATGTACATCAAGCAAATAAAAAAGACACAGCATGAGCTTCAAGTAGTGCATATCTAAGCAAGATACATAATAATAAAGCCTGAACTAAGATTTTGCGGAACAGAAACCTCACTGAGCCCTAGGTGAACCCATGGATCTGGGTCTCTTCTTCGCTGGAACCTCTTGCCAGAGGAGTTGTTTCGGAGGAAGAATTGGTAAAGGATCCCAGCAAAGAACTTTAGGACAAGTAATAGTCATGTCTCTGCAAAAGGACAGCAAGTCCTCTGGAACCCTCAATGTAGCCAACTTGCCATAACGTCTTGTGGTAAGGCTTAAAGGGAATCCCCATCGGTAGAGGATGTTGGCATCACGGAGGAGAGTGAGCAGTGGTAGCAATTGTCTGTTGTTGCAGGGCAATCCAAGAAAAATCCGGAAAAAGTCTAATTGGGGCTTCATCAAATTTTGGGAGACTGCAAATTTTTGCATAATCTTCTCCTTGAGGGCATAGGAGTGGATCCTGCAGACGACATTTCTAAGTGGAGTGGAAGTGCCCTGTTGTCTAAGAGCCCTGTGAGCACGATCGATCTCAATAGTGTGGATGGTTCGCCTCGGATGTTGTTAAAGGCTTTTCCCCATAGTTCCCCTTACGGTAACGGGAGGACACAAACTAGCGTCCTCCCGTCACCCTAGGCTCAGTATATCGTGAGCTGTAGCTCGCGTTATACTGAGACGCCGCAGTATACCGCGAGCTGCTGCTCTCGGTATACCGAGACGCTGAAGCGGATCCCGACCATTGTGCCGGGATCCGCCCAGCTGAGTGACTGACGGCAGAGAGCCGTGACAGGATCGAGAGGTGAGCGAACGCCGGTATGTGTTCGCTCACCTCCTGATCTACTGAGCCGACCTGTGACAGTCTCATTGTCACAGGTCGGCTAGAGACTATGAGTGAAAAGCACTCACCTCATAGTTCTCCTTTTTAATATGGCTTGCAAAGTCTCAGATTTTCAGAACCGGTGGCTTCAGGCAGCCCCTTTTATCCTAATGTTCCTACGGCCTCTGTAATCCAGATCTTCCAGGTGGCATTGCAGGTCTCAAATGGTAGTATTTTGAGAGATGACCTGAGACTGTAGCTCAAAAAGATTGTGTCTAATGGATTGAAGATCGGACTTGACTGATTCCACTCTGTGAGTAAGATGCTGAAAATCTTCACGAAGGACACAAATTTAGAGTGACAAGTGTCACGTACCTCTTGGATGAGGGCACGAAAGTCCTGTTTGGCATGTGTAAACTTGATGTAGTCCCGCCAAGATAACGACACATCTTGATCCAGATCTAAGGATGGTGTCACAAATGCAGGGATTAGGGGATCTGCAGCATTAGACTGGTGTGAAATTATCCCCTGAGGAGGTGCACGGGCAGAGGAGAGCCTGCAGACCCCGTAGCTGACAGAGGATGCAGGAGCCAGGTATGCTGAAGCAGGAGCCAGCAGAGATGCGACCGAGCGAGGCCTACTGGTAGAACGGCCATGATCCCTGGACCAGCAGCGTCGCTGGGGCCTAGGAGTTGGTGTCATCGGGAGACGGGTACCACCAGAGGAACGCTCTGGGCTGTGCCTCAGGCATGCAGGAGAAGGGGGCCCAAGTATAGAGGAGTCCTGCGGTGAAGAGGAGGAAGAGGGCCCATGAGAGGAGCTCGGCAGGGTTGCGGCCTGTGCAGCATCCGGGGATGAGTGCCACATAGATGGCGGGCTGGGAGAAGCCCGATGGGAGTAGGCATGCCCGGAGATGACACAGGAGAAGCGACAGATGCCGCACTAGAGGTAATGCCAGCACACAGTGTGGTGTAGCCGACAAGCGGAGCTGACTGTCTGTCTGGGAGATGGTCCAGTGAGTGTGGAGGCGTTGGGCACAAGGGGGAATCTGCAGGCTCTAGCTCTAGCCCAATCTTGTATTCGGCCAGGAGAGAATCCGGCAGCTCAAAGTAAGATTTGATGCCTGCCGATGAGGTGGACCGCTGGCGGGTGGACACGGAGTGTCGAGCAGCATGTTTTTGCCCATGACGGGGCTAAGAAGGTGAACCCGGAACTACGAAACAGCAAGGTGCAGGGAGAGCCACGAGAGCACACATCTGCTTAACATGTGGACACGCGCCCCCCCATGATGCAGCTTTTTGAATGTCTACTCATTTGGCGTCTCGCATCAGCCTCATATTTGTCCAATGCATAGGATGAGCTGGCCTAATTGCTACATCGCCAATCCTCTAAAAAAGCCTTGTTGCATCTACTATTCGGTGGGGTTCATCACTACTGAGCTAAATTAGTTGAGCGCCAGCCCATGCCCTTTTTCTCTTCCACAAATTGTTTTTTTTTTTTTTTTTTATAGTTCAGCTCCAGTTTTGTTGTCTCAAGGCCTTTGTTCCAAAAGATCCTGGCAGACCAAGGGGGCAAAACCTACAAACAAATCTTGGCAGCATGAAGGTTTGCCCTCCACCTGTATTCATAAAAGTTGTGGACATGGCTTCTGGTGCTGCATCTGGTGGACTTACACTGGGCAATTCTGGGGCTTTTGTCAAGATTTTCTGATTTCCCCTTGGAGATATGTTAGGGCTTTTATTCATGTCTTTTCAGTTTTAAATCAAAGTGTGAATCCTGTTCACACATTTATTTAGTTCTATCATGTGGACATCACAGCATTGTGTAAAGTTTTACAGGCGGCCATGCCATGATGCAGGGTTTCCTGTTGGGAGACCCCTCCCCCCCCCCCCATCCTTTTTCTTAGGGACTGCTTTTGAATGTCCCCCAACCAGATCATTCTTGTGTGTTTTTCTGGGTTTTTTTGGCCAAGTTTTCTTATTTTAAAATTTAGTTTTCAGATGGCTATTTTGTCTTATATTGCTTACTATGTGTAGGGATAAAGCCAGGAGCAGCTGTGCCTTTTTGATTTGCCCAATATCCAATCTTCTAGAGGGTGAACATAAACAGAGGTTTGCCATTTTCCCCTATTGAACTAGGCATTGTGGGAGTTGTAGGTAAAGAGACACCACAGAAACGTCCGTTGCTTTCAGTCAGATTGTCTTACAGGCTTGCAGTGAGATAAGAGGATCACTGCAGCACTGTCGAGCAGGAAGCAGAGGCTGCATATTAGACATGTGCGTTTCGTTCCGAATGTCATTTTGCGACGAGTTTTCGTCTGGTTCAGACGGTCGTCGTGTGGCGGAACTTTTTTTATTTTGGCGGGCATCGTGATTGGCGGGCGTCGTGCATCGTGATTGACACTGGATTACATCGGTATAGTCAAAAACTGACTATTTTAAATTAAATGATTTTTTTCTAAAAGGTGTGGTTTGTTTATTTTGGAATTTTAACCCTTTAGTGAATGAGTAGTACCCCATACTCATTCACAAGGGGGGTGGCATCTGGTTGCCCCTTAATTAAAGGGGTACCCCAATGCAAATAAGCCCCCTTGCCTGCAGACCCCCACAACCACTGGGTCCGGGTTGTGGGGAAGAGGCCCTTGACCTAAAGAGCCTTGTATGGATTTTGGGGGAAACCCTACGTTTTTTGTTTTAAGTTGGGAGGGGTGGTCCCTCCTAACATTCCTACCAGACCTAATCGGTCTGGTATCAATTGTGGGGGAACCTCATGCTTTTTTTTTTCTCTTCTGCGGACAGTAAAAAAATTACAAAAAAAATTTCCTCTAATGTCCCTTTTGCTGCAATGAAATTTCGTCCACAAAAAGAAATTTCGTACAGACTACCGCTAACAAATTTTTCTGAATCACAAAATGAATTGACTTTCAGGCCCGAATCCCGAAAAACGAAATCGCGTAAAATCCGAATGAAAGCGAAACAAATTTTTTGTCGGTGCACATGTCTACTGCATATGTAATAAGCAGATATGACTGCCTCTGAATGTGTGTGTGTGTGTGTGTGTGTGTGTGTGTGTGTGTGTGTGTATATACAAATAAACGTAAGAGGACGTTAATTGTTAGTGCATTAATAACCATTTAATAAGATTGATATATTTTGAAAAGAATACAAAAGAATAAATGCAATGTGCCCAGGTGACTCTGTTTATAAAAGTAAGGTGTAGTGGTAATTCTTATAGTTTGGGGGGTGGGTAGGGGTAGTACTGTACAGTATGTTGCTCCTGGGGAGAAAGCAGTCCACACGCAGGGATAAGCTAAGTGAGGTCCAGATTTGATACAACTTTAAATGGGTAGACATCCGGCTAAATGTTTGCACGGCTTTTAAAACTGCTGGTTCTAAAGGTTATCCAATGGTTTCCAATTTTCTCAAGAGTTCTTTCAGTCCAGTTTTAAGGCTAGAGGAGTTTACAAATCTTTAGAACTGTGATGCTTGCCAATGAGTTGTGATCTTTTCTCAATTTTTTTTTTTCTGCTTTTTTTTATTTTCTGTATAGGTTATAGAAGAGATTGAAGAAATGATGCAGGAATCTCCTGATCCAGAAGAGGATGATAATCCTTCCCAGTCAGACAGACTTTCTATGCTTTCACAGGAGATTCAGACACTAAAGAAGTCCTCCACAAATGGTAGCTATGAAGACAGTAAGTATACAAGCTAAAATCGGTTAAAGCACCCTACCGTTGTAATTGTTGAGGGTAACAAAATAACCTTCTAAAATGCTGTCTATTTTTTATATTTTTAATTTTTTTTTTATTTTACTGTTATATTGGCTTGTTATAGTAGTTTTTCTAATTACCTATACTAAGAGAAAAAGTTGGCTGTCGTTGCTGATTTTTAATATTTTCTAAATCAATGACCTGCAACAAGTATGCAGCAGTTTAGGCTTCACTTGCTCAATACTTGTTTGGACTCTTTGACTTAAAGTATTACAATTTACATGGTGTAAGGCGATTGGCATTTTCAGGAGGTGCAAGTAAAGTTTGTTTTAAAAAAAGTGTCCTGATTCCGTCTCTCTGTTGTAAACGGATGTGATAATTTGCAAATGTGCACATTCCTATTTAGGGCAACATGTCGGATACCTTTTGATTGCCCCTTCTGCTGATGGTTACCTTTTGCTGACTCCATCATGGTTAAAGTCCAATATCTTGGAGCACTAGCAGAGCAAGAGTGAAGAGGGATGAATGGGGAAGTGACAGGTTTTACTTTCCTTGCCCCTTTCATCTCCAGAGCCTGGGCATGCATTATATGGAAATCTTAATTTTCAATTCCAGATCAAGAGATTTTGGCATATTTGCTTTCATCTGCAATATCTTGTAATATTGTAATGTTTCGCATCCCAACCTTGCTATTGCAGTGAAAAACATTATTAAACCGTAAAGCCCAAATATGGGAATTGTTTTTCAATTTATATAGCCCGCCGGCAGTTTTAAAAATGAAAAAGCAGCTTTTGCTGTAATTGAAATGATTATAGGATGGGTTAGAAAACCTTATCCAGTTGCGGTGGTTTTCCTACTATTGTAGTTACAAAAAATACACATCCATTGATTTTTGATTTTTGCTCCAAGGGGGAAAGCATTTCTTCCTGGTCCCTTTTTAATATTCCCTGGATCAGCAATCTACAGTGTTGTTACTTATAAATAATAATAACCAGGTATGCTCTGTGCATTTAAAAGCACATCCAGATTTTTGAACAGTTTGCGGAGTTAGCTGGAACTAGCTCTTGTGAAAGTCTCTGTACAAGAGTTTCTATTGAAAAAAAATATATTAGCAATAGCCCACATGAATTTTAGAAAGACACAATCTACGTATGTAGAGGAAGTATGAGAAACCTAAAAGCATTGCTGATATAGTATACTTGGACTTCGCTAAAGTGTTTTGAAACCGTTCCCCAAAAACGGCTAATGCATAAGTTAACTTTTTTTTTGTTATAAACAAAGGTACTCTCTGAGTATTTGGCAATAGAGAAGGATCTAGGTGTTCTGGTAGTTAATACACTTGGACAGCCTGCAGTGGCAAACTGCAGTTACTAGAATATTGAAAATACTTTCTTGTATTAAAAGATGTATAAACTCCAGAGAGAGTCATAATCTTACCCCTGTACAAAGCATCATTAAGACCTCATCTGAATGCAGGAAGTGATGTTTACTACATCATTTCCGCATTCCTCTGTCACTCTCCGGTACAGAAACCGGAGAGAAGCTGATGAAGCAGATCTGTGCTTCATCAGCTTCTCTGGGGGTCCCTAGGTGACATTAGGGGTCTTAGAGACCCCTGATGTGTCCATAAAGAGGACCTGTAATTTTGTTATCACATAGATTTCTTAGCACCCTATGTGATAACAATAAAGTTAAGTGTAAAAAAAAAAAAAAAAAATTGCTCACAAAATAAATAGAAATTTATACACACAACAAAAAAAAACTCCCAAAAAATGTTTAAAGTCCCCCACCCACACATAAATGCGTTAGATGCCCCTACACGCAAAAACGACGATTGCTCCAATCATGCTGCGCGTGTTGCATATCGCCTCGAATGTCGCAATAATTCTCGGGCCGTCAATCACCGATAACCCTAAACTGATGAGCGGTAAAATCTTTTAAAGTGTCGCCTATGGCCAATTTTGGCTATGGTGTTTTTTTGTGATTTCGCGGGCGTGCGCAATTTTAAGGCATGACATGTTTAGTGTCCTATTTACCCGATGTGACCCCTGCCTTTTATATTTTACCAAAAAATTGGGTCACAATAATTGTTTCCTAAAATAATAAAGGGAAAACCATTTTTTTAAAAATATTTGGTACTTTTTTTGTTTTATATAGTAAAAAATAAAAACCCCAGTGGTAATTAAATATCACCAAAAGAAAGCTCTATGTGTCAGCGTTGCATGACGGAATAAACGTCAGTCAAAGTACCTCGTCGCTGAATACTTAAAAATGGCCTGGACATGAAGGGGGTGTAAACACCCCGGTCAGCAAGTGGTTAAAGAAAAAAATACACTTCCTACAGTCAAACATGGTGGAGGTTGACTAATTTTTGGGGGTTGCTTTGGTGCTTCAGGCACTGGATGACTTGACTGTGTGCATGGCATTATGAAATCTGAAGACTACCAAAGAATTCTGAGGTGCAATGTAAGGCCCAGTTGTCAGAAAGTTGGGTCTCCGTCAGAGGTCCTGGGTCTTGCAGCAGGACAATGACCCAAAGCACACGACAAAAAGCACCCAGAAATAGTTTCAGACAAAGCACTGGAGAGTACTCGACTAGCCAACAATGAGTCCAGATCTGAATTCCATAGAGCACCTGTGGAGAGATCTCAAAACAGCAGTTGGGAAAAGGAACCCTTCCAATCTGAGAGACCTGGAGCAGTTGGCGAAAGAAATGTGGTCCAAAATTCCTGTAGAGAGGTGTAAAGGTGGCCATACACTGTACAACCATCGCAAGACCTTAGTCTTGCGATGGTTGTAAAGGGATTAAAAAACCGTACGATCTGCCTATCTTGGACGGGCAGATCGCACTCTCAATCATCGCAAGCCACGCCCCCTGAGGGGCGGGCTTGCGATGACTGTAATGAGGGGCGGGCTTACGCTGACTGCAAACGGGCAGTGTGCGCGTGCGCACACCGGCCCGTTCGGCAGTTGTCGAACCAGCAGGCCACCAACTCGCCGAGAATCGTACGATTCCCGGCGGGTTTTCAAACATGCTGGTTCGATGGAAGACGTGCGACCGTACAGTAGAAACGGTCGCACGCCTTCCATACACTGCACGATTCTCGTACGATCGCTGGATTTCCCGCGATTCTCGTACGAGAATCGTGCAGTGTATGGGCACCTTAAGAAATGTATTGATGGTTACAGGAAGCAATTGATGTCAGTTATTTTTTCCAAGGGCTGTGCTACCAAATATTAATTGAGGGTGCCAATAATTTTGTCCAGTCCATTTTTGGAGTTTTGCGTGGAATGTGTCAAGTTTGGCTTTTTTTTCCCCCCTCTGTTTTTTGTGTCATACCAATACAAACAAAAAAAAAAAATAAACATGAGAATGCCCAAACATTTGTAATTGCAACAATTTTCTGTGCGAAGTGGTGCATTATCTGACAAATGCAGGGGTACCAATATCTATATATTGAAGTCACATGGGTTTTAAGCTATTGCAAATGCTGATTGAATCGCTTACAATGGATGCTGCTTCATGATGTTGAAAAGCTTGTTTCCTGCAAAATTAGTTTGTCCCTTGAGCACTGTCCCTGACATCCTGATTTAGGGTGGCTCCTTTCTCAAGCAGAGCTCTATGAAGCCGTGTGTGTGCGCTCTAGTAAGCTGTGTGTGTGTCTCTACACACATCAAACAAAGCTACTCCCCCTCCCCTCTGGCCCCCTTTCCTTCCTCCAGCCTTCTACAAGCTAGTAGATGTACATTTGCTGGAGATTGTGTTGTCTTGTGTGCACTTGTACTGGAAAGGAAGTTCAGAGAAGCTCAGCTGAGAGACTTGGAACCAGATTTTCAGAAACATGATGACTAAGTGCTTGGTTAAAAATATAAATAAATACTTTGCTGAGCAATGTATATTTGTTTGATCTGGATTCATTCTTGAAAAAACGTTTGAGAGTTTAATACTACTTTAATGCGTGTGCGGATTGTAGTTTGATATTATGTTTTTCCCTCTTCTTTGCAAAGGGGTGAAGCAAATGACTGTTACAGAGCTAAACAATCTGCTGGAGGAAATTGAGATTGCCATTAAGAATTATTCAGAGGAACTAGTACAGCATCTGGCCTCAAGAGATGAGCTTGAGTTTGAGAAAGAAGTAAAGAACAGCTTCATTTCTGTCCTTATTGAAGTTCAAAACAAACAGAAAGAGCACAAGGAAAATGTGAAAAAGAAGAAAAAGCTAAAAAGTAACAGCACACAGAATGGCAAGCAGGAAAGAAGTAATTTACCAGGAACGGTATGTATACTTCTTACTATTGATTTGTGAAAAGTGGTCATGGTGCGTAGCTGTGTATGCCATTGTGAATTACATTTTAGAGTAACTGTTCTAGAGAACCAGTAAGAACATAAATATTGGATTTGTGACTACTGACTTGTTTTTAGAGGTGTACATCCAAGACTGTGTAAGCCTGACCTTCACTATCTAGTGGGTAACTAGAGACAAGTATATGGAATGGGACTTCCTTCACTGGTAGTCTGCTTGTTCCATGCATGCTTGGTCAGTGATTTCACTAGACTGAAACCAGTACCAAGGTGGCAGCCTTGTAGCCTGTACTTTACAGAATTAGTCAGCAAAGCACTGGCTAGGTCACTCAAAACTGATATTACATTTATGAACAGGCACTGGTGAGTTGAATCAAGCACTGCACTTATCTTTCAAGGACTCCACGTCTCCAGTTCTTAGATCTACACTTCTACAATAGAGTTTCACAGCATCCCTCCAGCAGAAACACCTTTTCATTATTGTCCATTGTAGGTAAGTAAACCTTTGAAATATTGCCACCAGTGTCCCTGAGAGATTAAACAAGCCAGTGGTTGAAATACGCTTTTTTTGTCAACTGACCCCTTTAAGAAGAACTCCCGGAAATGTTTTTATTAACTTTTGCGGTGGAGCTACCCCTGCAATGCAAGGCTTAACTGCTCGTTTGTGTCTAGGTTAAAAAAACAAAGTTATACTCACCCAAAGCTCCGAGCCGGCTTCTTCTTAGACTGGTCCTTCCAACGTTAATCCCCCTCTTCTGCAGCAGTTTAAGGCCTCATAAATTATCAACGTCTATACACTGCGGAAGATTCCAATGCTGCTGGGAGGGGGAGACCGGCTGGAGGGAGTGCTGTGACAGCTGGCCGGCTCGAAGCTTCGGGTAAGTGTATCTTTGTTATTTTAGCACCTAGATACAAACAGGCACTGTCTCTTGGAGTGCGGGAGTTGCCCCTCTGCAAGGGTTAATAAAAAAAAGTTCCTGGAGTTCTTTGATTAAATCAGCCATTTTTTTCCTTGAACACAGATCGGGAGATGCATGTTTGCTACTTGTCCTTTATAATGACAATTTCTATGCTTTTATGGGTATAAATCTTTTATAAAGTGTGCTTAATCTGTTAGTCCCTTTTTCCCGTTCATTTACAATAGCTTATTTTCGATAAACGGGGCCTAATGTATTAATGTGTTCTTAAATCTTAGAACTGGAATCATTTTCTCACAGCTATCTACCTGATTTCATACTATCCAGCCCCCAGTTTGCTTGAAACCTTTTATAGTAACTCCACTTCTTAATAAGAACATGTTTTATATGTCAGGTCCTAGTAAACTTCCAAAATCTACTAGAACCGAGAAAGCTATTTGTGAAACATCTTCAGATTTACCGAACAAGTCCAGTTGAATGTTAGTAACTAACTTATGTAACATATAACACTAACCATGTCCTACATAACTGAGGACCTTATCAGACAATAGTGTACATCACTAGCACATCATCTGCTCCTATTCAAATTCCATTTGTTACACAAATACACAGTTTCAAAGATAAATGCCAGCTCCCTTATCAGACAATAGTGGCAATAGTGTTGCCTAATAAAGGAACTGGCCAGGAATAAGCTTTGAGATTAAGCTGACCATGCGTTTTAAGCCAAACTCACCGTGTTTGCAGTTTGGCGAACGGGCAAACTAAATGACCAGATTTGGCCGGTTTATCTATCCGCCTTAAACTGCTGCAGCCAAAAGTCTTTTATTTTGTGACTGTATTGCTACAGCCAGTGCTTGGCACTGGTGGTATTAATCTGCTGGGGGACTACTGTGGCTAATAACTGTGTTACTAATAACTGCTGGGCTCCTAATCATCAGGCACTGTAGACTATGCTTTGAAAACTTTGATTATTGTTGGGCACTTGGAGTGATACTGTGGTCATTTCAAATTATAGCTGGGCCTAAATTAAATAAAAATAAAAAATAAAGTATCCCCCCCCCCAATCATCTTCCAGGACAGCAACTCAGAGATGATTGGTTCTTTAGTCTACAGGAAACACAATCAACAAGTTTAAAAGCCCCTCCCTTACCCTCCGTTTCTCAGTGGGTTTTTTTTTATTGTTTCTTAACGTCCAGGTCAGCACAATGTTGGTTGTTTGTTTTTTCCTTGACTGGATGGCCTTGAGGTCAACGGTCCCCCTTTGTGTGGCTCTGCTGGAGGGCTTGTCTTTTATTTCCGTGATTCGTCCTCCCGGCTGTTGCCCCGTCTGTTCCCTGCGTAGGGCAGGAAGAGAGGGTTTGCTGCACGCTGCCAAAGCCATGGTGGAGGAAGAGGCTAAGCCGGTGTCTGCTGTGCCCAGGTTAACGGGTGGGGTGAGTGATCTCTTGGAAGAAGAGTAATGATAGTGGCACAGTGTAGGGTGGTGGGAATTCATTCAAGGGCGAATTAAGCACTAGATGTGAGCTAGTTTGGAAGCTTAGATTCTGGATCTAAAAAATCAACTGGCAACAATATGGAGCATTAACAACATCAAAAAGAGTTTAGATCTGACTCTTCAGATTCTGGTGGAGGGTGGTATAGAGGAGGAGGGGGATAGGGGGTGCAGGATCCTGAGGTGGATAGCTGAGTTACCATTAGAAGGCGGGGTAGCGGGAAGAGTGCAAGAAAGACTGGTCCTGAATTGCTATACTCAATAAATATGCCCAGTTGCATGATGTTGGGGATATTAGTTCAGGGATAGAATTGCTGGAGCAGGACGCTTCCCCTATCTGCCAGGGGAGTGACTGCACCAGTAAGGATGTGAGCAGAAAGGATAGAAACGAGAGACACATATTGGTCGTGGGGGACTGTATTATAGGAAGGACAGACAGGATAATTTGTCACCGGGACCACGAGCGTAGAGCAGCCTGTTGCTTACCAGGGGCTTGTGTTTGACACATTGCGGAACGGGTGGACAGGTTATTGGGAGGGGCTGGGCATGACCCAGCTGTCATGGTACACTTCGGTACCAATGACAAAATTAGAGGCAGCTGGAGTGTCCTAAAAAAACTACTTCAAAGACTCAGGCCAGGTACACACTTGGGTGGTCCCGGGACCGCGCATTCGAGTGCGGTTGCACACAGCGGTTGCCGTGCAGCCCCATCGATTTCAATAGTTATATCCGTGCAGCAATTGCTGAAAACAGGTACACATACCTTTTTCGCAACACGCACTGCACGGTTGTTTCAGCCGTGATAATGTGCGATTGCACAGGTGGAATTGCAGCGGTAAACCATGCGATCTGCCTGGCGCAACTGCGGTGCCATTAGAAAGAAGTGGCATCGCCATTGCGATCAGCAATGGTGTGCGGAACTGTGACCACACGGTTTTGTGCACGATTGCCACAGATTGCCCAAGTGGGAATCTAGCCTTAGGTGCTAGGTTGAAAAAAAAATTACCTCCAAGGTAGTATTTTCTGAAATACTGCCAGTGCCAAGAGCCCTACAAGAGAGGCAGGACGGAGTTGAGAACTGAACAAGTGGCTACGGAACTGGTGTCGGAAAGAAGGGTTTGGGTTCATGGAGAATTGGGCTGACTTCTCACTTGATTATCGGCTCTATAGCAGAGATGGGCTGCCCCTAAATGGGGAAGGTGCAGCACGTTTGGGGGAGAAAAGGGTTATAAGACTGGAGGAGCTTTTAAACTAGAATATGGGGGTAGGGAATAAAAACGGGAAAAATAAACCGAGAGCAAGGAGCTACAGGTGCAATTAATATAGAGTGCTGTAATATAAGGGGGGGACAGAGGGCTCACTTCAGGCGATCTAATTTGTAATGTTTTAACCGTACCAAGGTCAGAAAGAAATTGGTGGCACTTCAAGAATGAGCAATAATAAAACTCAAACCACTAGCACCAAACTAAAATGTATGTACACCAATGCTAGAATTCTACCAAACATATTAGAGGAGCTTGAACTTCTGCTCCTTGAAGAGGACTTCGATATAGTTGGAATAACAGAAACTTGGCTAGATAGCTCACATGACTGGGCAACTAATGTACAAGGGTACTAATTATTCAGTTAGGAGAGGGTTGGTAGAAGGGGGGGAGGTGTAATTAATGTATGTAAAAAATAATCTTAACTGTGCACATACAAGATGACCTCACAACAGTGTTGCAATGGAGTTAAGTCTTTGTGGCTAGAACTAGATGACTTAAGTGCGTCATAAACTAATTGTGAGTGTGTGTGTTATAAACCCCCGAACATAAGGGAAGAGGAGGAGGCTCATCTACATTCCCAAATAGCTGGCAAGCAGGGAAATTGTTCTAATGGGTGACCTCAATTATCCAGACATTGATTGGGCAAATGGAACCGCTCATTCAACAAAAACTGGCCGTTTCCTAATCCTGTTGCGGGACAGTTTCATGGATCAGATGGTTGATGTCCCAACCAGGAAGAATGCAATTCTAGATCTATTAATTTCAAATAAGGCAGACCTAGTTGCTGAAATATTGATTAGGGATACATTGGGTAATGGCGATCACTTGGTGATTACTTTTAATGTTGGGTATGGAAATGAGAAGTATGTTGGTTTGACACGAACGCATAATTTCAAGAAGGCAAACTTCGTTGAGCTTGCATAATGTCATTAGCAAGTGCATACCATTGGGCAACAAAAATAAAAGATCAAGATCTAAACCTGCATGGCTAAATGAAACGGTAAGACGACATATCAAAGAAGCTGGCATTTTAAAATATGAGATGGAGGGGACTGCAATAGCAGCTATAACGAATGCAATAAATGTAAAAGTGCAATTCAGGCAGCTAAAATAGATCACGAAAAACAACGCTAAAGTCCATAAGAAGAACCCCCCCAAAAAAATGTCCATTATACAAACCGCAAAATGGTAAGGAAAGAGCAGATAGACCCAATAAAAGATATGAATGGGAGATTAATCCCAAACGTCGGGAAAAAGGCTGAGGTATTAAATTAATTTTTCTCCTCGGTATACACTCGCG